ATTTTGTCAGAACTGCCCTTAAATGGTCTTTTAGTTGTTTCTTGTTTTCAGCAGATATTAATATGTCATCGAAATAGGGCACCACCCCTTTTAGACCTTGTAGAAGGCATTCCATTAGGCTCTGGAAAACGCCAGGGGCTACGCTTACACTGAATTGTAATCTATTGCATTTATATGCTCCTCTGTGCATTATGATGGTTTGTGCCTCGGCTGTTTCAGGATCAACGGTTAATTGTTGATATGCCTGCGCGAGGTTGAGTTTTGCAAAAATTCTGCCTCTTCCCAATTAATACGGGTATTGGACTACTGGAACGGGGTATGCGCTCTGTTGCAATGCATGGTTCAGGGTCGCCTTATAGTCACCACAGATGCGCATGGACCCATCAGTTTTTATAGGGGTCACAATTGGGGTCTCCCATCTGGCATGGTCAGTTGGCTCTAGAACCCCCTGAGCGATTAGTTTGTTTAGTTGTTCGTCAATTTTAGGTCTTAGTGCAAATGGTACCCGTCTGGCTTTGAGCCTAACTGGAGCTACGTTTGGGTTTAAGTTAAATGATATAGGGGTCCCAGGGTACTTGCCTAAGGTCCCGTCAAACACATCATGGAATTCTTCCATCAGGTCTTTTTCCCAGTCAGTCATGGTGTTGTTGTTTATTCCTGTCACCTCGATCCCGAGTGGTTCGAACCATTCTAAACTGAGCAGGCTGGGCCGATCTCTGTCAACGATGGTTAATGGCAGGATCTTGGTGTGCCTTTTAAAACTTACTTTGAATTGTCCTAGCCCTAGTACCGGTATTCCTTGATGATTAAGCTTTGCTTCTCAAGTTGTCTGCGTAGTCCTTGATGATAGTAGTCCTTGATGATAGTAGTCCTTGATGATTAAGCTTTGCTTCTCAAGTTGTCTGCGTTGTATGTCGGGAATTAAGCTTTTTATTGTGTTCCATGACACCATTGATAAATACGAACCGGAGTCTACTTCCATCTCGTACGGCTCACCTTCAATCAGGACGTTGACTCTAACCTTCTTAGTGTTTATTGTTCTGGCCATCCCAATTGTGATAGTTTGGTGCGTTTCTTCCTTTTCATCTTTCTGCTGACCTTTTCCGTCATGATTCCAATGGCTTCCGGTTGTCCTTTCTTTGTTTCGGGGGTGGTGGTGGTGGTGGTGGTACTGCCCTGTCGCCTTGAATTATAGCTCTTTTTCTTTCGGCATACCCTTGCGATGTGTCCCCGTTTCTCACAATGCCGGCAGGTGGCATCCAGGAATCAACACTCAGATCTCGGGTGGTTTCCGCCACAACCCGCACACTGGAATTCAGATCTTCTGCTTCGTCTCTCTCTCTGGTTCCTTTCTGAGTAGAGTCTGTTCACTTCCTCATCTTTGTCATCTGAATCGGTTGATGATTCGATGTCCTCATGGTGAGAGGATGTGGCAGCGTGCTTTTGGGTTCCCTCTGTCTTCTTCTCTTTGTTCATGCTCGGGCTGCCCGTCATATTCATCTGCTTCATTTTTGCTGCAGATTTCTTTGCAGCTTCAGCAGCAGTTGCTTCAGTAATAGCTTCATTGACGGTGATGTTTGGTCAGTTTAGTAGTTTGCTCTGTAAAGTTGCGTCTCTTAGTCCCAGGACTATGCGATCCCTCATGGCTTCGTCCATGTTGAGGAATTCGCATGTCCCCCCAATGTCTCTTAATGCTGCTATGAAGTCTCCAATGCTCTCACCTTCTAGTTGGTCGTGCTTGTCAAACTCGTGTCTTCTAATTAGGTTGGATAAGGCCAGTGCGTAATGGTTCCTCAACATCCGATTCAGGTCTGGCCATGCCATCTGTTTAACATCATTTGGTCTTGCTAACGCTTTGGCCATTTTAAAAACAGTCGGACCGCAATGCGTTAGGAAAATGTCTCTCTTCCTTTGGTCAGTGATTCCTTGCAGCTCGTTGCTATCTAAAAACATCAGGAATCTGTCAATGTACGACTCCCAGTCTTCTTCGGCTGGGTTGAATGGTGCGGGTGGTGAATTGTTGCCGGCCATCTTGTTGGTCCTTCGGCTGTCGTTGCCACGTGCTTATGGTCTTTGTCTCTTTAATCCCACCTTCCTCGCCAGTGTTCTCTCACCAGTAAAGAGACTCGCAGACAGGAGTTGAATTCAGCTCTTTAATAATAACAGTAACTTCAACTGCAGTCGAACCGCAGCAGCCCTTTTTATAGCGGCTGCTCCATGGCTCACAACCAATGACATTTAGTTAAACTTCCCGCCGCTATTGGCGGCCAATCAGGTACTAACGTTACTAACCAATCGTATCATTTCTTCTGTTAACCAATAGGAATATCACCCTAGAAGTCTCTATTTAAATACACTACAGCAACATTGCGCACATGCCCGACATCACTGACTGGGTCCTTCCCTGCCTAGTCACTCCTTAAGGTATTTCTTTTTTCCCCCTCCTAATGATCAGCTGTTCCTATGATCAGCTGTGCTGGGATTCCCTTCACTTACTTACTGCTTTGCCCAGGAGACTTCCCTGATGCCCAGGACGGCAAAAATGGAGGAGGGGGGGGGGGACAGGGAAGCTTCCTTGAAGCAAAAACACCTCCCCAGAGGCTCCCCTGAAGCCCAGATGGCCCCAAACAAAGCATGTGTGTGTGTGCTGTGTGACCCTCCAGGCTCCATTTTTTTCCTTCCTGAGCCTAGGGAAGCCTTCTGGGAGCAAAAACACCCCCTAGGAGGTTTCTCTGAGGCCCAGGAGGCCACAAAACAGAGTTTAGGGGGGTGCTGCGTGCTCCCCTGTGCTCCATTTCTTTCCTTCCTGAGCCCCAGGGAAGCCTTCTGGGAGCAAAAACAGCCCCCATGAGGTTTTCCTGAGGCCCAGAAGGCTCAAAAAATGGGGGAAGGGGGTGCTGCCAAAAAAGAAGAAGCCACACCCACCCAGTCACATGGCCAAGCCCACCTAGCCACGCTCACACAACCGGTTGTTACAAAATTTGAATCCCACCCCCTGGGCATATGTGCAGTAGTTGCCCTTCTCCAAACACTGTACTGTCCTCTCATCCTTGGTAATTTGATGCCATGAGGGGTCCTTCATGCTCTCTGAATTTAGTTGTTTTATTGCAGACATTTCTTTACCAAACTAGATAACATTATCAGTGCTAGTAAAAAATGGGGTTTGCTGTCACTTTTTTTATTACAGTGACTTGTCCTGGTAATATTGGGTAGGAGTAGTCTTGGAGATTCTTTGGTTGAACTATTGATTAGCTTGTTTGCTAGTTCCTAAATTGGGGTATTGTTTAATTCTTTATTGTGGGTCTGCTGTTAATATTAGTGTTACTCTATGCTCATTGGGTGTTGATTGCTGGTAGAGAGATGTTTTGCCTTTTGTTCCCTTTTTGTCTTGTTGATGTCTCTTTTGCACAGTATGTAGCTTTGGTTTATGTCTATGTATTCATTGATGGCCAATTCGTCAGAGTGCCAGGTTTTCAGGAATTCTCTACTTTTTAAAAAAATCAGATAGTCCTCAATTTATGACCACAATTGAACCCAAAATTTCTGTTGCTAAACAAGACCGTGGTTAAATGAATTTTGCCCCATTTTATGACCTTTCTCGCCACCATTGTCAAGTTAAGAATCAATTGTTAAGAATCATTGCAATTGTTAAGTTAGTAACCCGGTTACTAAGTGAATCGGGCTTCCCCATTGACTTTGCTTGTCGGAACGTCACAATATGACCCTGGGACACTGCAGCCGTCATTAATATGAGTCTGTTTTTGATCATGTGACTATGGGGATGCAGCAATGGTCACAATTGTGAAAAATGGTCATAAGTCACTTTTCTCAGTGCTGCTGTAACTTTGAACGGTCAATAAACGAAGTCAAGGACTGCCTGTATTATTCTTTGAAGCAATTTTTTAAAATGAGTATCATCTCCACTGTTTAGAAGGAGGTGAAGAAAGGCATGAATGCCCCCCTCAGTCCTGTAGAAAGAAAAATCCATCTGGTTCAGTTCCAAGCTGGGAGAAAAGTGCTAGAAATAAAATGGAGGCTGATTGGAAAGAGCATCCATTTATTGATGAAGCAGAACCACAACATGAAGTTCTGGGACAGCTAACAAATTAGCTTGATGAGGGGCAAGAATTTTTATACAGTTTACAACAGGGATGTCAAACTCAATTTCATTGAGGGCCACATTAGAGCTGTGATTGACCTTGGGGGACGGGGTGGGCATGGCTGACTGGGTGGATGTGGCCAACTGGGTGGGCATGGCCAGCTCGACACTATTCCCCAAACTGCTGGCATATTTCCTCTTCACACTGGGTAGACTGGGCTGAAGCCATGCTGGCCCGCTGTTTCTTCTTCATATTGGGTAGACTGGGCCAAGGCAACATTAGCCAGCTCCTTACATTTTCCAGGACAGCCCCGTAGGCCATATCTGACAATATTGCAGGCTGGATCTGGCCCGCAGGCCTTGTGTTTGACACTCCTGGATTACAGTATTTTGTAATTTTGAAGTTTGCTTTGTGGGCTTTTATCATTTGATTGGTTTTGCAAAGGCACATGATGGGTCTTAATGATCAGCTTCCTTAGTCCCAGGCCTGTCAGGCATGTGTAATTGATGTTATTCTCTTATCGGTTGCCTCTAGCCTGCTTTTCTAAATGGACTGGTATTGTTTCCACTTTTCTCAATGAATGGGCTTAAGGTCATGTCCTCTCCTTAATCACGTCACCTGGAAGTGAAGGTGTTTTATCAGTGAATAGGCTGACCCAGTCTTTCTTAATGGGCGCAAAAATCTCTATCTCTAAAGATTTCAGGCATCTGCTGGAAGCTGTTTTACTATGCAGGAAACGGGGTTGCTTGCTGCCTCTAAGAGCACATTTATCCATTTCTCCTTTGGGGAAATATTATATTCTGCCTCTTTTAATATTCCCCAAAACATTAAATTCTTCGGGGGGGGGGGCACAGCTTCCCATAGTCATTTACTCATTCTTGTTTTTCCCTCATTTCTCAGATTGCAGAGAAAAAATGGAAGTCGTGTATTCCTGTTACAAGTGGAAGATTACGCCAGCTGTCAGAGAAATCCAAGACATTTTGGTAAATAAATTCTTAAAAATGCATTCTTATGCTTAGCCCCCAGAGGGCAGCAAAGCTCCAGTTTTGCCATGCAGTATTTCCATGCAAACATGATCATTTTTTCTTTTCTTTTTTTATGCCATCATATTTCCTGGATGGTTATTTTGCTACATAAGCAATAATTCTGTCTCATATGAACGAAACAGAGCTAGTCCTCGATGTACGACCACAACAGAGCCCCAAATTTCTGTCGCTAAATAAGACATTGGTCAAGTGAGTTTTGCTCCATTTTACAACCTTTCATGCTACAGTTCTTAAGCAAATCACTGCAGTTGTTAAGTTAGTAACACGCTTATTAAGTGAATCTGGCTTCCCCACTGACTTTGCTTGTCAGAAGGTGGCAAAAGAGGATCACATGACCCCAGGGACACTGTAAGTGACATAAATGAGAGTCAGTTGCCAGGCATCTGAATTTAGATCATGTGACCAGAGGGATGCTGCAATGGTAAGTGTGAAAAATGGTCATAAGTCACTTTCTTCATTTATACAGTTGTAACTTTGAACAGTCACTAAATGAACTGTTTTAAGTTGAGGACTACATTTAAATTACCATCAGACAGCCCCACATATATATCCCTTGTTTTTACTAAACATGTGAAATAAGGAATAGGTAATCCTTGACTAAAAAACATTCTGAGCCGTGGTGGCACAGTGCAGTGCTGCAGGCTAATTCTTCTGACTGCCAGATGCTCAAGGTTGACTCAGCCTTTCATCCTTCCGAGGTGGGTCAAATTAGGACCCAGATTGTTGGGGGCTATAGACTGACTCTGTAAACCTCTTAAACAGGACTGTAAAGCACTGTGAAGCAATATAAGTCTAAGTGCTATTGTTTTTAGTGACTGTTCAAACTTACAACAGTACTGAAAAAAGTGACTTACAAAAGGTCCTTCCAACTATGACCCCTGCAGCAAACCATTTACAATGGTTACAGAGTCCCAAGGACCTGTGATTACTATTTGTGACTTTCCCAGCTGGTTTCTGACCAGTAAAGTAAAAGGGGTAGGGGGGAAGGAACCAAGATTCATTTAACAACTAGTTAACTGGTGTCATTTGCACGTTGTAAAATTGCGTTCATCTCACTTACCACTTCTTTACTTAGTAATGAAAATTGTGGTCCAAATTGTGATCATAAATCAAGGATTTCCTGTACTCTAGAGTGAAAATTTCTTGACTTGGGGTGATCAGTGAGAATGTTAGATTTATCTGGAATCCATGCCCTTCTTTTTTGGGGAAAGGCATGGATTCCAGATGAGTTTTGAGTGGTACAACAGGGACTGGGAGACAGTCCCTCCCCAAAACCTCAGGAATTCAAAATAGGCAGTGGCAAAAATATCATTTAATTTACCTTGTTAAAATGAATTACCAATATATAGGTAAAGGTAAAGGTTCCCCTCGCACATACGTGCTTGTCATTTCTGGCTCTAGGGGGTGGTGCTCATCTCCATTACAAAGCCGAAGAGCCAGGGCTGTCCAAAGACGTCTCTGTGGTCATATGGCTGGCATGAATAAATGCTGAAGACGCACAGGACGCTGTTACCTTCCCACCAAAGGGGTCCCTGTTTTTCTACTTGCATTTTTACATGCTTTCAAACTGCTAGGTTGGCAGAAGCTGGGACAAGTAATGGGAGCTCATTCTGTTACGTGGCACTAGGGATTCAAACTGCCAAACTGCCAACCTTTCTGATCGACAAACTTAACGTCTTGGCCACTGAGCAATGAGGACAATTAACCAATGGAACAGCTTGCCTCCAGAAGCTGTAGGAACTTCATCAGTAGTAGTTTTTAAGAAGAGACCGGAAAGCCACTTGTCTCAATTGATATAGGGTCCCCTGCTTGAGCAGAGGGTTAATCTTGAAGATTTTCAAGGTCTTCCAGCTCTACTCTGATTGATTGAAATGCTTCCCTATTCATTTCTTAAACTCTTTACAATCCATTGGCAATTCTGGCCTCTAAAATCCATGCACTGGATTTCAGAGGAAAGGGGATCTCCTTGTTCATGTGTCTCCAATTTCCCCCCCCTGCAGCCCCGCTTTCACCTCCTCATTTTCCTTTGTTATTCTCAGGCCGATCAAGGTTTGCTTTGACATTTCTCTTGGGAGTGTTTTACAATTTATGTGATAGTTTTTACAAGACCCTGAAGACCTGGTTTTACCAACGGGAGTGTGATAGAACAGTGCAGAAGCTGAAGTAATCGATTCAATGAGTGGGATTAAGGGCTTGCAAGCTTTATGTATTTTATGTTTTTTTTTAAAAAAAATGCTTTTATGTTGCTTTTTCTTCTTTTTAAAAATTGTTCTATTCTACTTTTTTGTTGCTTTTATTTTTGGTTTGTTATTTTGAAGCCATCCAGAGTCTTAAAGAGAGAGAAAGAAAGAGAGAGAGAGAGATGGGGGGAGGGAGAGGGGGGAAGCAGATAGACAGACAGAGACAGAAAGCAAATAAATATAGATAGTCCTCAAGTTACAACAGTTCACTAAGTGACCATTCAAAGTTACAACAGCATTGAAAAAAGTGACTTATGGCCATTTTTCACACTTATGTCTCTTGCAACATCCCTATGGTCATGTGATCTACATTTGGATGCTTGGCAACTGACTCACATTTATGATGGTTGCAGTGTCCTGGGAGTCATGCAATCCCCCTTTTGCGACCTTCTGACAAGCAAAATCAATGGGGAAGCCAGTTTCCCTGAACATCCGTGTTACTCATTGAATAACTGCAGTGACTCGCTTAAGAAATATGGCAAGAAAAGTTGAGAAATGAGGCAAAACTCGCTGAATAAATTTCTCACTTAGCAACATAAATTGTGGGCCCAATTTGTGGCTGTATGTCGAGGAGTACCTCTAAATAGCAATAGCAAGTAGACTTATACACTGCTTCATTCTGCTTTATAGCCCCTCTCTAAGCCCCCACTGTAGACCACTACAGTGTCAACCTATTGCATCCAACAATCTGGGTCCTCATTTTACCAACCTTGGAAGGTTGGAAGGCTGAGTCAACATTGAAACCTGTGGTTTCTGTTGCTTAAGCCACCTCTTTCCACCTTTCTGAAAGTCTCATTAACTGTTCACCTCCCAGTATTAAAAACACCCAAATATAGTTGCCCAGAATTCCTTGGGATCTTTCTGGGCAACAAAAGAAGTGTGAGAAGATGAGGAGACAGACAGCCTATTATATAGCAAAAGGCAGGTGTACCACTTACCCAGTGGTGGGATTCAAAATTGTTTACTACCGGTTCTATGGGTGTGGCTTGGTGGACATGGCTTTGTGGGCATGGCAGGGGAAGGATACTGTAAAATCCCCATTACCTCCTCACTCCACTAACCTGCTTTCTAGCTCCATTCTCCTGTGCAGGGCAACAGAGGAAGACCCAGCCGATCAGCTGGGACTCGGGAGGCAGGAGGTGGGGCCAGTCAGAGGTGGTATTTGCTGGTTCTCCAAATTATTCAAAATTTCCGCTACTGGTTCTCCAGAACTGGTCAGAGCCTGCTGAATACCACCTCTACCCTTAACCCCATCTGTCCACGACAATTTCAGGTAAATGGCTGACTCTTTTTAAACATTCTCTTTTCTTAAATGAAATGAATACTGGTAGAGAGGGGAAATGCAAGCTAATAGATTAGTTTACTCACTTCTAGATCACTGTAATCTCGAGCTCTACGGAGATACTCAATTAGTCAGCTCATGGTTGTTCCAAAGGTTTTTTTCTTCCCAAAAAGGCAACTGTGCTTCCAAGGAAGGCTGGTTGCCGTTTAGAAAAGGACCTTTGGGACCTAATCTGGAGGGATTTTAACTCCTTCCTCCATTCAGTATCGCTTTAGCTGGGTGATCTCTTCTTCCCGCCTTGCCAATTTGTTTTCTTATCACTTCCAAAAGATGCAGAAAAATAGTTCTTTTAGAACAGAAGCCAAGGTCCCTCCCCATCTGAGTTCCAAGGGACCCAGTCTTGCCCCCGCGACATCTGAGGGCTACCGAGCATTCACTCCTACCTATGGCTTGGAAGAACATTTAAAAACCATTCAACTAGAAGAAACGTCATCTGTGCAAAACGGCAAGTACAATGTGAAAGGGGTGGTGGATCATGCAACTTTTTCTGCTTTTCTGGAGTTAATTAACTGGCAATTGATCTGAAAACTGAAAAGCCTTTAAAAAAAATTATTTGTGTGAGTGATCAAAATTAAGTGCTTAGCATTTAGCAATAGCACTTAGACTTATATACCACTTTATAATGCTTCAGAGCACTTTTTAAGAAGTTTACAGAGTCAGCATATCGCTCTCAATCATCTGGGTCCTCATTTGATCAACCTTGGAAGGATGGAAGCTTGAGTCAACCTTGAGCTGGTAAAGATCGAACTGCTGACAGTCAGCAGAGTTAGCCTGCTATACTGCATTCTAGCCACTATGCCTCATAGCACTTACAGAAAACTCTCTGGGCAGTTTACAGTATCAAAGCATTATTTACATCTTGTCCCCAATAATCTGGGTCCTCAGTTTTCCAATCTCAGATGTATGAAAAGTTAAGTCAACCCCATTGGGGTCAAATTCCAGACTATGGGCAGAGTTTGCCTACAATACTGCACTTTAACCACTGTACTACCAGGGCTCTTAAGAACATCTCCTCTTTGTTTTCCTTCTGTTTTTGGCCCACCTCTTCCTGTTTTACTAGCTAGACCAAGATTTAGCAATCTACTGCACAGGTTATTCCAAGTTTTGTAGCTTCTTTCTCCCCCAAACCAAAATTGCATGGCCAACATTTGACCTCCAAATCATGGGTTTTACCCCAAATCGTTTCTGCAAATACGCTAAATTAGACCAATACTTTTGGTTTGAACTCTGAAGACATCAATACACCATTAATCCCCCACCCCATACTTTGCAGTTCCTATAGGCTAATGTTTTTTGTATCCCCCCAAAGATCCAACTTGGCTATAAGCCACACTCAGAAATTTCCACATCAGCTTTCCTATAAACAGTTGCCCTTCCAAACTTTTGAATTTAAATTATTAACAGGCTTTCCTAAATTGGAATGACGAGAAGTGATGTCCAACAGAAGTGAAAAGCTCCAATTATGGAAGACTGATCTGGAATCCAAGCATGCATTCTAATTAATATTTAATTGGACAAGGGGAAGATGTTTCCCGAAAGATCCCCTCTGCTCAATGTTTCCAACCATTTTGTCCAAATGACCTCTTCATTTCACATCTGAATGTTAATTAATGATAGTGATTGCTCAGTTAATGCCGACTCTTGTAGTTCAATAGACATCTTGTTGCCAGAACAGTCTGCCGGTAACTAATTGAGGTTCTGTAAGCAACTACTTATGTCATCATAATAGTATCCAGTCACCTAGCTGTCACTCAGTTTCCCTATTAGTAAAGCAGATTTAGACTGCAAAAATTAGTAGAACTTTTAGATAGCAGCAAATGGCTAGAGATTCTCATTCTCCTTGCTGCCATCTAGTGGACATTTAGATTTTTGTAGTCTAATATGGTTGCCATGGACTAGGCCCCCATTTGATTGTGTGTGTGTGTGTGTGTGTGTGTGTGTGTGTGTGTGTGTGTTTGTGACTGCCCATCAGCATTTGTTTCTTGGAGCTCTTGCAAACTTTTGTGGGTGCCATGATTACCTGGCTTGTCTGTTGCCTTCAGTTTTTGAAACCAGCAATACTTGCCATGATGGGCTAAAATCAGAAGTGGAGAATAATGGTCCCTTTATGTAGAGATTCTCAGTCATCCAGATCATGGTTGTCCCAAAGGTGTTCTTTTAGGAGGAAACTGGACTTTTTTTGTTTTTTCTTTTGAAGACATTTTGCTTCTCATCCAAGAAGCTTCTTCAGCTCTGACAGGATAGTGGGGAATGGAAGGATTTATATTCCTTGAAGACAGCTGATAATCTGCATCCTTCTGAAGGGTTGTTGAAGCACTTGAAGATTTATCTGTGACCTCAGGGTTATCTGAGTAATGCTCCTGGTTCCTGTAGTCTGCAATTTTTCTTTGGAAATCCATTCCTATTCCCACACCATTCAAAGGGTGTTCATCCAAATTGTATAGTTGTAGAGATTGTATAGTCTGTAGAGATTCTCAGTCATCCAGGTCATGGTTGTCCTTAAAGTGCTTTTTCAGGAGGCAACTGGACTTTCTTGTTTTTACTTTTGAAGTTGTTTCACTTCTCTAAGCTTCTCTAAGAAGCTTCTTCCGTTCTGCAATGGCTCCTTTATGATTTGAGGACATGGCTGGTTCAGGAATTCTGGGAGTTGCAGTCCACAAGTCATAAAAGGCCTATGGTTCCTCAATCCTGGACTAAATCAAGAAAGCCTAGAACTCTTTAGGCTAATGTCAAGAGATCAACTGGAATGGTTTTTCAGACTGTGCCTCTTTTTATTACCATTTTTCTGCGGTAAATAAAAAAAACTAAGAAGTACTAATGCAAAAAGGATGGAAAGCAGTAATGTCTGGACCCCACAATAAAATTCTGTGGAGAACAAAGGGCATTTGTTCAATGAAAATCCTATTTGGAAGGACCCAGTTTCAATTCAGTGGTGTAATTTCTTCAAACTTATTTATACAATGGGGCAAATTCATGCAGCCTATAAAACAGAATGGGGCTTCCTTCATTTGTCTTAGATATGTAACTCTTGCTTATCTTGACAAATGAATTCAGTCATTATGATTAACACTGGAAACCAAAGCACACTGCTTCTTAAATTAAAAAAAAACTGAACAGAAAACTGTCAACCTATAAATCCACAAAGACGATCCAGTGAATGTGAATAAATTTTACTAAGCCAGTTACATTTTATCTTTAATATTTCAGAATCAAGAATATCTAAAAATCATTTGACTAAACCTGCAAAATATCCAGGTTCTTCTCGTAGGCTCAGATTCATATATCACCCAAAGTCATAACAAATTTCCTTTGGTTTAGCTTAGGAAAATGTGTGAATTAAGCCATCATGTTAATTCAACTCAGGTTTTGTGAATTCTACAATTATGACTTATAAATCACATATAATTGCTATAGCTTTTTCGTGATATTTTTTAAATTGACTTTGTGCCAACAAGCTGTAGATTTTTCTCAATGATTAAAAAAAAAATCTATAGTTAAGTGTACTGTGATAAGCCAAATGCTATACTTTATAGATTAGCATATTGTGTGACTTTAATTATTGTGGTTTGTAAGCCATGATTTTTGTCTTAAAGTATTATATGGAGCCAACCATTGTGATTAATTCAAGAAACCATGGCTGAAACAAATAAAGGATAAGTGGGGTATATAATCATTGCTTTTTTCTCATTTCAGAAGCTGTACCACCAGAAGTTGTTTTAAGAAAGAAATCTATTGGGAACCTTCACCGAAGTAAAAGCATGTGTAACAGGGATGTAAGAACATAATTATCAATTTACTCTTTTGTGTCAGTTAGAATGAGTTAGTCATTCATAGGAAAAACAGAGAGTTCTAGTTAGTGACAAACTTAGCAAGAAACCCTTGATCAGAATTGGTATGGAAAATAATTACATCAATTACATAGAATATCAGATTTGGAAGGGACCTTGGAGGTCTTCTAGTCCAACCCACTGCTTAGGCAGGAAACCCTACACCATTTCAGACAAATGATTATCCAATCTCTTGTTAATGAGTGACTAATGTCTCACGAATCACTACCAAGAGGGCCTGGCTTTAAATTTAACATATGCGGATGCTGTCGTTCAATCATACAGGTGAAACTCAAAAAATTAGAATATCGTGCAAAAGTTCATTTATTTCAGTAATACAAGTTAAAAGGTGAACCTAATACACTGCTCAAAAAAAAAAGGGAACCCAAAAATAAGACATCCTAGATCTGGATGAATGAAATATTCTTATTAAATACTTTGTTCATTACACAGTTGAATGTGCTGACAACAAAATCACACAAAAATTATCAATGAAAATCAAATTTAGCAACCCATGGAGGTCTGGATTTGGAGTTACACTCAAAATTAAAGTGGAAAAAAACACTACAGGCTGATCCAACTTTGATGTAAGTCAAAATGAGGCTCAGTAGTGTGTGTGGCCTTCACGTGCCTGTATGACCTCCCTACAATGCCTGGGCATGCTCCTGATGAGGTGGCGGATGGTCTCCTGAGGAATCTCCTCCCACACCTGGACTAAAGTATCCCCCAACTCCTGGACAGTTTGTGGTGCAATGTGGCGTTGGTGGATGGAGCGAGACATGATGTCCCAGATATGCTCAATTGGATTCAGGTCTGGGGAAAGGCGGGCCAGTCCATAGCATCAATGCCTTCGTCTTGCAGGAACTGCTGACACACTGCAGCCACATGAGGTCTAGCATTGTCTTGCTGTAGGAGGAACCCAGGGCCAACTGCACCAGCATATGGTCTCACAAGGGGTCTAAGGATCTCATCTCTGTACCTAATGGCAGTCAGGCTACCTCTGGATGGCTGTGCAGCCCCCTAAAGAAATGCTACCCCATACCATTACTGAGCTACTGGTAAACTGGTCATGCTGGAGGATGTTACAGGCAACAGAACATTCTCCATGGTGTCTCCAGATCCTGTCACGTCTGTCACATGTGCTCAGTGTGAATCTGCTTTCATCTGTGAAGAGCACAAGGCACCAGTGGCGAATTTGCCAATCTTGGTGTTCTCTGGCAAATGCCAAACATCCTGCATGGTGTTGGGCTGTAAGCATAACCCCCCACCTGTGGACATTGGGCCCTCATACCACCCTCATGGAGTCTATTTCTGACCATTTGAGCAGCCACATGCACATTTGTGGCCCGCTGGAGGTCATTTTGCAGGGCCCTGGCAGTGCTCCTCCTGTCCCTCCTTGCACAAAGGCAGAGGTAGCGGTTCTGATGCTGGGTTGTTACCCTCCTATGGCCTCCTCCACATCTCCTGATGTACTGGCCTGTCTCCTGGTAGCACCTCCATGCTCTGGACACTACGCTGACATACACAGAAAGCCTTCTTGCCATAGCTCGCATTGATGTGCCATCCTGGATGAGCTGCACTACCTGAGCCACTTGTGTGGGTTGTAGACTCCGTCTCATGCTACCACTAGAGTGAAAGCACCACCAGCATTCAAAAGTGACCAAACCATCAAACAGAAGCATAGGAACTGAGAAGTGGTCTGTGGTCACCACCTGCAGAACCACTCCTTTATTGGGGATGTCTTGCTAACTGCCTATGCTTTCTACCTCTTGTCTATTCCATTTGCACAACAGCATGTGAAATTGATTGTCAATCAGTGTTGCTACCTAAGTGGACAGTTTTATTTCACAGAAGTGTGATTGACTTGGAGTTACATTGTGTTGTTTAAGTGTTCCTTTATTTTTTTGAGCAGTGTATACGAGATAGACGCATTACATGCAAAGCAAGATAGTTCAAGCCGTGATGTGTCATAATTGAGATGATTATGGCTTACAGCTCATGAAAACCCCAAATCCACAATATCAGAAAATTAAAATATTGTGAAAAAGTTCAATATTCTAGGCTCAAAGTGTCCCCCTCTAATCAGCTAATTAAGCCATAACACCTGCAAAGGGTTCCTGAACCTTTAAATGGTCTCTCAGTCAGGTTCAGTAGGAATCACAATAATGGGAAAGACTGCTGACCTGACAGTTGTGCAGAAAACCATCATTGACACCCTCCATAAGGAGGGAAAGCCTCAAAAGGTAATTACAAAAGAAGTTGGATGTTCCCAAAGTGCTGTATCAAAGCACATTAATAGAAAGTTGTGTGGAAGGGAAAAGTGTGGAAGAAAAAGGTGCACAAGCAGCTGGGATGACCGCAGCCTAGAGAGGATTGTCAGGAAAAGGCCATTCAAAAGTGTTGGGACTTTCGCAAGGAGTGGACTGAGGCTGGAGTCAGTGCATCAAGAGCCACCACACACAGACAGATCCTGGACATGGGCTTCAAATGTCGTATTCCTCTTGTTAAGCTGCTCCTGAAAAACAAACAACGTCAGAAGCATCTTACCTGGGCTAAAGAAAAACAGAACTGGTCTGTTGCTTAGTGGTCCAAAGTCCTCTTTTCTGATGAGAGCAACTTTTGCATCTCATTTGAAAACCAAGACCCAGAGTATGGAGGAAGAATGGAGAGGCACACACTGCAAGATGCTTGAAGTCCAGTGTGAAGTTTCCACAGTCTGTGTTGATTTGGGGAGTCATGGAGCACTTCATGCTTCCTTCTGCAGATGAGCTTTATGGGGATGCTGACTTCATTTTCCAGCAGGACTTGGCACCTGCCCACACTGCCAAAATCACCTGCGCACACTGGCAAAAGCACCAAAACCTCGGGATTACTGTGCTTGATTGTCCAGCAAACTCGCCTGACCTGAACCCCATAGAGAATCTATGGGGCTTTGCCAAGAGAAAGATGAGAGACATGAGACCGAACAATGCAGAAGAGCTGAAGGCCGCTATTGAAGCATCCTGGTCTTCCATAGCACCTCATCAGTGCCACAGGCTGATAGCTTCCATGCCACGCCACATTGAGTCAGTAATTACTACAAAAGGGGCCCAAACCAAGTACTGAGTACATATGCATGCTTATACTTGTCAGAGGTCCGATATTGTTCTATGTACATTTTTTGTTTTATTGATTGCATGTAATATTCTAATTTTCTGAGATTGTGGATTTGGGGTTTTCATGAGCTGTAAGACATAATCATCACATTTATGACAAATCACGGCTTGAACTATCTTGCTTTGCATGTAATGAGTCTATCTTATATATTAGTTTCACCTTTTAAGTTGCATTACTGAAATAAATGAACTTTTGCACACTATTCTAATTTTTCGAGTTTCACCTGTATATCACCATCAAATCTTGTCCCATATGCCTAGGCTCTGTCAAGCTTATTTGACCTAATCCAAGATGGTGGGTATGATTGGAGAACACTATTGAAGACTAGAGCTCTCACAACCAGACTTCTTGGTAAAATGTGCCTGTAAGATCAATGCTCATTGGCTAAGAAACCAGGGAAGGAAGCAGAGGCTGACACTTCCATTGAAGGAAGAAGCATAAATATGAACAGGTGTTCTCTAGGGGCTGACAGGGGCAAATGAACATGCCACCTTTTAATTAGCCTGATGCTTTGTTTTTCAAGAAAGCTGAAAGGACAGAGCAGGAAAATCCTTATGTGTCGGAAGTCCAAACTTCACAAAGGAGCACACTCAGAGGTATTTTTATCCTGTCTTGTTTGGGGACATTTACTCATCTTTGCTCACGAAAACCAGATGTGCCACTCCTGCACAGCAAGACCATCATGGAATTATTATTACCCCTGGCCTTGCTTATGGAGTTCTTTATATAACAGAACTTGTTCCATGGCAGGAAGACACATATGCATTTGTGGGTGTGGGTGCATATCCATACAAACATATCTCCTATCAGCAAAGGATTGTAGCATCTTCACTTTGGTTGGTTCTCTGATACGATGTTTTTAATGGTCATGGCAGTTGCTAGAATATCTTTACTGAAATTAAATGTAACTGTGGCCTGATGCATTTGGATTGAAGTTTGCTACGTCATTCCTGAATCAAAGTTTGTTGGAAATGAGGGGAAGGTGGAACATTAAAAGTGGGATAAAGTAGAGCAGATTTTCAAAAGTAGTTAGATCCTTGAACTTCAGTAGTATTCCTGGCTGTGCTGGCTGGGAGGAAGATTATGGAGGTTGAAATTGACATTTCTGGGAAAAGAGTGAGAAATTTTACTTCTTCAAAGGATTTGGGAGAACTTCTCAATTCTTTCTATTAATCCCTTTTCTCTTCTTAGAGAAATTTCTCCTTAGTTCTAGGTTGCTTCACTCCTTGATTAGTTTCCATCTATTGCTTCTTGTCTTGCTTTCTGGTGCTTTGGAAAATAAGTTGACACCTTTGTGGCAGTCCTCAAATATTGGAACATTGCTGTCATGTTTCCCTCCCCCTTTTTCAAACAGATAATAAGCAACGGCCTCGTTCAGATACATTTACTTCTCCATTATATCCAAATTATCCTGCATTCCATCATTATCCGCTGGTAAGTAAATGAGAAATACTGGGAACAAGACTGGGAAAATATGGAGAGAAGCATCCTTAAGAGATCTTCTATGAATCTCTCTTGCTTATTTCCATTAGGGTTGTAATTATTTGATTTCCTCCAACCTTTTCTTACAAAAATAGGGGCATAGAACATTGGCAGTGATATTCTAGGAAGAGCTGTGTTGGATCTAAGTTTCATAGCTCAGTGTCCCGTTCCCACAGTGGTCAAACAGAGACTTTGTGGAACTTTTCCTCATCAAGGAAAACAGTCTATAGCTTTGCCCAGTCAGAAACATTGAGCCAATTGTGCTCCCAAAGGTCCACAAACAAATTGGGCTCCCAAAGGTTCACAAACAAATATACACAAATGCAGCCATGCACAATTACCTCATTCTTTAGCCAAAGGAATTTCCCCGCAAAACTTGCAGTTCATTTTTTTTTAAAGTTAATCTTGGCTCTTTGGTTTACACATGACATGGGCTACTCCTGGTTCAGGCCAGCTCGCCCATACCATAGTTACGACCACCGGTTGGGCCAGCCCACCGGCCCAGGCTCTATCCTGTCCTATATATTTACCTTTTTGCTCAAACGCCTCACCCTCTCAGCCCAGCTGCTTTCCGTACCTTGCCTGATCTACTCATTCTGGCTGCCATGCATAGGAAATTCCCTTGTTTTTACAGCTGTGCATGCTCAAATTTTCAGCGAACCTGTCGTTAAACTGGTTGCAGCCCACCTTTGCATCAAAGGAGAAGTGAACAGGGAAGGCAAAGAAAAAAAAATCAGTTTACCACTTTACATTTCTTATAAGGGCCACCTGCCATAGAAACAGTTCAGGCTGCCAGAAGGAATGACATATAAATTACTGGAAGAGGGCCCAGTAAGAATCTATGGCCTTAATATTTCTTAATCCTTAGAGTTCTAAACCAGATCCCTAGTGATTTGCAATTTATTTTATTAGCAAATTAGATAATCCAGTCATCTGTCCATCCATCCATCCATCCATCCATTATTTGCTCCTATCCAAACAGATTCTGGGTAGAGTATAACGCAATAAAGAAAAAGAAATTGCACTAGAGAAAAAAAAAGTAGGGAAAATTGTGCTCCAATCATATTTTTTAAAAAAATCAGTGAAGCTCTAATAGTTCATGTGCTATTATGGTGGAATCATCTGAAGGAGGGGGAGCCTTCTAGGGTGAGTAAAAAAACATTCCAGCTTGGAGTTGATTTTGGGGTAGGGGAGCATTGTGGTCTAACCCTTAGGTCTATATCTGCAATTTCCCAAGGGAATATTGGGAAATAATGATATTCTTGTAGTATAGGTGATCAGCAATAAAGAATCTACTTGGGCCATTCATGGAGTGGTTCTGGCTGCTTGCGCCTGACAGCTATTTAATTAAACAAGCCAAAGGGCTAAACACCTATCAGAACAATCTTGATTTGGCTAGGTTTCAAAATACCCAAAGACTTGGGGGCCATCTGTACCTTTGGGGAATGGATGGGAGAGTATGTTGCATAAAATGGCATTGGGTGGTAAGCAAGTGATCCCATAAATTCAGTTGTTTTTTGTTTATAAATGATGCATATTATATGTTTCCAAACCAGATTTCACTGTTAAACTCAATGTTCCAGTTCTTTCTCATTTTGGAGGCCTTCTACACTCCACACATTACATATGGGGTCAGGAAATTGAGGGTTTCTTTAGAATAAAGGTTGTACTGAAGGTGTCATCATTTGTGACCATAAAGATTGCCACAGTTTAGCAGTTTTGGAACTATGTGAGATAAATAGTTGGTGACAGGGAGGATGCTGATCTTGAAAGACCAGCTTTAAAATGAAGATTGCTTGCTACTCTTTTTGGTCTTCCAAAGATCCAGAAGAAAGCTATTATTATAGTGTATTTCAATAGACTCCATTTAGATGCAATATAATACAGCAGCAACCCTTCCTGATGGAACTGCAATTCTCTGTTAAAGAGTAAATTAAAGAAGGCCTGAAATCACATATAAGGTTACCCAAGTTCCTGGATCCCTGGAACCCCATATGAGATCTCAAGAGGTTTTAAATGAGGACAGTTTGAAAGAGAGTATGTGGGATCTTGCAAAGGTAGAGCAGCGAAAGCATGTTGCATGAACTCAATCTTTTGTGGTTTGTCAAATAAGCCATAATTATGCAACTCATGACTGAATCAGATTTAGAATAGAATAACAGAGTTGGACGGGACCTTGGAGGTCTTCTAATCCAGTCCCCTGCCTAGGCAGGAAACTCTACACCACTTCAGAAAAATGGTTATCCAACATATTTTTAAAAACTTCCAGTGTTGGAGCATTCCCAATTTCTGGAGGAAAGTTGTTCCACTGATTAATTGTTATCACTCTCAGGAAATTTCTCTTTAGTTCTAAAGTTGTTTCTTTCCTTGATTAGTTTCCATCTGTTGCTTGTTGTCCTGCCCTCGGATGCTTTGGAGAATAGCCTGACCCCCCTCTTCTTTGTGGCAGCCCCTGAGATATTGAAACACTGCTATCTATTTGATCTGATTTTTAGCCCATTTCCAGCTGGGTCATCAAGGTGATATAAATGTATAGGTGACCTGAAGGGATAGGTCAATGGTCACCTTTTCAGTTTCCATGCACACTCATGTATTTATTTTTCCATTTTTTTTCATCTGAATACTTTTTTCCCAGCCATTTTATGGCTCCCACCAAGGTGATATTCGATTTGCTCAACAGAACCAGTCATTCCTGGGTCATTCTGCACCTACAGTTTCCTGTGAGTAAAAGTAAATGTTTCCAAAATATAACCAACCAACCCCTGTAAGATGTTTCTGTACTTAACCTGATTTTTTTTTAAACAAAGGTGATTCTTTTCTTGACCTCCAGATGGTGGGATTCAAATCAGTGGCAGCAGCATCACCGGAGTTCAAATTGGAGGTGGAAACCACATGCATGTTGAACAAGCTTCTCGGACAAAACATGGCAGTAACCAATGAATGCTGATAGAAAATGGACAACTTCAATCCTGTGCTTGGGAGAATTCCAGCCAGTCCCTTGTCTTTTCTATTGTCCCTGACTTTTCTGCACAATCCTTCTAATATAACATAATCCAGCTATTTCTAGAAAGATAGAATCACAGAACAGAAAGAATGGAGGTCACTCAGGAATTCATCTATTCCAGGAGTCCAGTGGTGGGATTCATTTTTTTTACTACCGGTTCTGTGGGTGTGGCTTTGTGGGCATGGCAGGAGAAGGATACTGTAAAATCTCCGTTTCCTCCCCACCCCAGCTCCATTCTCCTGTGCAGGGCATCAAAAGAAGATCCAGATGATCAACTGGGATTTGGGAGGAGAGAATAGATGGGGGCAGGGCCAGTCAGAGGTGGTATTTGGCAGTTCTCCAAACTACTCAAAATTTCTGCTACAGGTTCTCCAGAACTGGTTAGAACTTGCTGAATATCACCTCTGAAAGGGCCTCCAAATTTGGCAACTTTAAGACTGGTGGACTTTAACTGCCAGAATTCCTCAGCTAGCATGGCTGGTTGGAGAATTCTGGGAACCGAAGTCCACCAGTCTTAAAGTTAAAATGAGATCCTTGATCTAATTCAACTGTCTGTCCAGTCTATTACTTCAGCATCCTGCATGGATAACCATTCAGACTCTCTTGAAACATCTCCAATAAAAGAAGAGCCCACTACTTCCCCAGGCTGTCTGTTTTTGTTTTTAAACTGACATTGCTGTTAAGGAACATCTCCTGATGTCCAATAAGATTTGCTTCCTTGTAATTTCAACATGTTGTTTTTGGTCCTGCCCTTTGAACTACACTGAAAAAATCATCTCTCATATTGTACAGCAGAGGTCTCTAAACTTAGCAACTTTAAGACTTGTGGACTTCAATTCCTAGAATTCCTCAACTAGCATACTCACTGAGGAATTCTGGGAGTTAAAGTCCAAAAGTCTTAAAGTTGCCAAGTTTGGGGACCCCTGTTCTACAGGGTGACCATCCAGAAACTTTTTAAAAATAAGTTTTTATTTTTTTAACTTGAATATATCACCTTTCATTAAACAGTGTGTCTTCTGGGTTAGGGTACAAATGTCTTCTGGGTACAAATGTCTCTGTACTATTACAATCAAAATTTACAATATTCGTTACATTGATAATAATTATCTAATCTTACAATAATAATAATCAGCATTATAACTATTCATTTCTCCCTCTTAATGTATCTTCTAATGAAAATATTATATTATATTAGATATAATAATCTTAATCATAGTAATAATCATATTGTTTACATTTCTATCTTAACATATATACTTTGTTTCACTAACTTCCATTTATTTCTCACTTCTGTTTTTATTCTCCATCCATAAAATAGCTCCCATGTCATATAATATTCAATTTGTTCTTTCTCCTTTACAGCAAGCATTAATCTGTTCATTTCTGCACATTCTCATATTTTCCTAATCACATTATCATCTATAGGGATCTCAGCTCTTTTCCAATTTTGTGCAAATACAATTCTAGCTGCAGTTAATACATGTATAATTAACTATGCATTTCCTTTACTGTAAGTTTCGAGCAAAATCCCCAACAAAAATATTTCTGGTTTTAAATCAATATGCTGCATTATCATCTTTTCCAACCACATTTATATTTTTGTCCAATATTTTTTGCCCCTACACATGTCCACCACATATGATAATATGACCCAGGTATCTGGTGGCATTTCCAACATTTAGCTGATTTGTCTTTAAACATTTTGGCAAGTCTTGTTGGTGCCAGGTGCCATCTCTAAAACATCTTATATAAGATGTATATCTTTATATGCGGTTGACATTGTCAATTTATAGTTCCTATCCCACAACTTCTGCCATTCATCTAATTCTATTGTGTAACCAAAACTTTTTGCCCATGCTATCATTGTCTCTTTCACTTGTTCATCTTCCAATTTAATAGCCAATTTAATATATAGTTATACAGCATTTTTTATCAGTCTTTCTTCTGTCCCTGTTAATATCTTACTTAATTCTATTGCTTCTTTACAAAACCATATAGTTTAGCATCTTTCTCATATCTAGAATCTTTCTGCACCTGTGAATACCATGCCATGTCAATCCCTTGATCACTCAATTCTTGTTTAGTTTTGAGTTCTCCCTTTTCATTCAATATGTCTTTAACAATATTTCCCATGTTAATAACATTTGGGTGAATCAGTGCTTCCACTGTTGAAAGCCAAAATGGTATCTTCAAATGTTGTTCTCTAATTTTCTCCCATACTAACAATAACACATTCCTTATACAGTGTTTTTGAAAGTATTTCTGCTTTTCCCATACCATAAGAAGGCATGCCAACTCAGTTGTAGATCATATCCCTCCAGAGTCAATAGTCTTGTATATCTCAATGCAATCCATTTTATTATCCATGTTAATGCTGCTGCCTGGTAATAAAATTCCCAGTTAGGTAATCCAAAGCATTCTCTATTTCTTGAATCCTGCAACATTTTAAAGCTAATTCTTGCTTTTTTCCCCTGTCAAATGTATTTTAATATTGTTTTATTAAGTTCTTCAATGTATTTTTTTATTTTATTTACCAATTTTATTTTATTTACCATTCAGAAACTTGAGGGGAACTATTATGTCTCTTCACAGTCATCTCCTCACTGGCCTTCCTGCGAATGTGCATGATTAATCATCAGTTCTGGATTAAGCCATGCACTTAACTCATCCCTTCCCATCCAGGCCTGTTGAATTCAAACATGGTGCTTTTCCTTTCTTTCTGTCAGACACTGGAATTGGCTGGTCTAAACTTTTAGAGATAAATGTTTTGTTTTTGTAAAAGCAATTGAATGAAGCCATTCCAACAATCTCTATCAGTGGCCGATAAAAGCGAAACAGCTGAAAGCTTAAATGAGAAAAAAATATTGAGGAAAGAAAGGAGCACCAAGATTCAGTGATAAACTGAAGCATTTCAAGAGTTTCTGACAACTTTTTTTCCTGAACAGATATCTAACACATTGTTAAAAATCAATGGCCACAGTCCTTGCTATTTTGCAGAAAATCACTGTGTTCAAGAAATGGGTGCTTAGTCTGGGTATATGCAAAGTATGAGGATTGCTCAGTGCTTTCTGAGTTTGGTTGTTTTCTTGAAGATGTTACCAAACTGTAACATCATCAGTCCAAAGCAGACTGAATTTGTCTCTCTGTGTGTGTCTGTATTACTCAGATACACTTTTGGAAGAGTTGTGAGTTTTCACAGATTCTTCATACAGTCCAAGGTTATACTTGTGTAGAAAGTTAGCACCCACACCTCTATATTTAATATTTTGACAAATATTAAAAAGGTAAAATGTTATATTTCCCTGGAAACACGCTTTTTTTAGAGGCAGGAAGCAGACTCACTCTTAATAGCCCTCACATTATCTTAATAGCTTTCAGCAGATGTCAGCACTTAAGAGATAAAGAGATATCTAACTCTATTCATAAGCAAATTCCCTGCAGCAAGGTCTGAACAAAAATAGGATCAGCCCTCAGGCATGATAAGAATTGCCCAACAAGCCCCTTCATTGCATCACCCAAAGTTGAACCAAACCTGGGAGCTGAGACAACCTACAGAGCCAATAGAATACATGTTCTTGCACAGGAACAGGAAGCTCAAGCCCAAGAGAAGGTATAAAACCCCCTCATTCTCAACTCCATGTGGTCAGCTGCCCAAGACCATCCAAATGGTTCTGCTTCATCATTAAACCATATTTTCAGCCCGCCTCCAGCCTTCATTTTGCCTTTCTCCCTGGAACTGAACCAGATGGATATTTCTTCCCACAATGATATTCAACACAGTGAACCCAGCCATACACTATCTCATTAAAGCACCTGATTAAACTTTTGTCATGGATGTTAAATGAGTCATGCAGTTGTTAAGTGAATCATGAAGTTGTTTTCTGTGATTAATGATTGCAATAAAATTATTTGAAATTGAATTCATGCAGTTGTTAAATGAATCCCACTTCTCCCATTGACTTTGCCTGTTGAAAGCTGGCTGACACTATCATGACCACATCAGAAAATTAAAACTAGGAGTTAATATTTTAGGCAGGAAAGGATCTTTCCCTTTGTACTAATCCAATTTAGCCCTTTGTCCACCTGTTCCAAACTGATACAGATCTTCATTTTTATGAACTTGTCAAACTGGGTTTCTTCTTTTGAGTTTTTCCCAAAGACCCATTTGTTCATGGTTTCATTAAATATTCTAACCGAAATGTGTATTATTGCCAATTAAACTTTACATAATTCAGATGGTGACAGTGAGATTCACTGAAATATACTTCAGAATTGGGTTTGAAAATATAAGATTAACTGAAATTTACTTCAGAGCTGGGTTTGAAAACGTTATTTAAGATTCACTGAAATTTACTTCAGAGCTGGGATTGAAAATGTGATATAAGATTCACTGAAATTTAACCCAGAGAGGGTTTGAAAATTGATGTAAGATTCACTGTAATTTACTTCAGTGTTGGGTTTGAAAATATGAAGTTGTGAAGTAAATATTAAAAACTGGAAGTATTTGCTGAGAACAGTGAGCAACAACTGTCCTTGTTAAATCACGGAAAACAATGTGGCATTTAGTAACAGCTGGTATCCTTAGAACTCTTCAATTAACTAAAAATAATATTTTAAATGGGCTAAATATAAATGCAAGTTGTTGGGGGGGTAAGACTGCCAAAACCACATGACAGTGAATTCATAAGATTTCAGTCATTTTTAAAAATGGACCTTTATTGTCCAGTGTTGTGGATTTCCAGAAGGATTACAATGTAAGGCATCCAGAAAGTATCCATGATATCAATCACTTCGAGACATGTTCTCTCCAATTGATTTATTTAGAAACAGATCTGGCATGTCAAAGACAATTTCCCAAAGTGAAAATTTTTCATGCATTACACAGAATCCACCTTCGTTCCTCCCTTATCTCTTCCCACTTCTACACTTCATAAATCACAAGAACCAATTAATTGCCACTGGAATTTCTTAATAAGACATACAGAATAACCTTGAACTTTTCAATTCCTCCAACTCTCTTAAAAAAAATGTGGCAGCTGAATTTCAAAGCTGACAGGCGTCGCCCCTTGAAAACTCCTCCTCCTAAAGAAAAAGAAAAAAAAAAACACATACAGGGGTTAATACATTGTCCTT